CTTACTAGGTGTTTCTTTTTCCAGGCATCTTCAGTTTCCTGTGTTGTGACTGCACATTTGTCTTCCTTCCCATAGCTTCACATACACACCTCACAGGGCACACGGTTTGGCCTTCAGGTGTTTCTTTGAAATCTGGTTGTAAGCCTCTATGTCCACAAAGTTCTTTCTTTCTGCATGCCTAAAAATGCTACCATCACATGGACAAGGTTAAGGTGTGGTGCCAGCCCAAGCAGAAGCCAGGCTCCCTTAGACCATGGCTGCAGGAGCCTCTAATTGCCTGGATGGCTGATTATGCAAAAATAAATCCCAGGAAAGAAATGTCCCAGATCTTTCTTGAGCAAGAATCCTCAGGAGTTTCTTTTCAAATGAGAAGGATTACACTGTAGCAATTTTTACCCTGCCCTGAGTGGAGTCTTGCTGATTCTTGAGATGACTTCAAAGGCATTTTTCTTCTGGTCTAGGTTCAAAGTACTTGTTTTCTTTTGAATAGCACTAATCTCTTCAACAACCATACCACCTTTGGCCCCAAATTACACATAGTTCTTTTGGGGCCTAAATTTTAAGTCTCTCAAATATTTTTGACTCAGCTTTTTGCTTCCAATTCTTGCTCTAAACATACCTAAAATCCATCAGTACCCATGCCACAATCTTACCATTGAGTGGCCTTGAAATTTCCTTCACCAGATCAATGAGTCACCACCTCAACTTTCAGTCTTACTCAAAGTCTTTCCACATCAAAAAATGGAGACATATTTTCTGCCAGGGTATAACAATCATAGCCTCTGGACTATTTTCCAATTGAGTCCCCATGCTTATCTGAAACCTCATGATCCTGGCCTTAGCTGTCCCCATGCCCACCAACACTCTGATTTTCAGACATCCAACCAAAATTTCCCATCACAATCTATTTACACAATTCTACGGCTTCTTTAGCCCACAACTCCAAACCTTTTCAAAATCCTCCCCGCAACCAGTTCCAAAAGGTTCTGGAAATATGGTCAGATATATGCATATCTATGACCCCACTTTTGATATTTCTGTACTGAAAAACTTCCCAATTGCTGGTAGAAAACATTCAACATGTGCAATTTAAAGATGAGGTTTATTGTGGTTCATAGTTTCAGTGACCTATAATCCAATGCTAAAACTTCATGGTGAAGGGATTGGTGGGTTGAAGCCTCTCAGTTCATGGTGCTTGGGAAGCAGAAGAGGGGAACAGCACTAGAGAGGAAAGGGGCCAGAAACCAGATGCACGGCCCCAAATCCTACCTCCACGATCCATCCAACACCCAGAAGTATGTTTGTTAATCTGCTAGGTAACTCTTAAGCCAATCAAGTGGAAAAGCCAGCATGATTGTCACAGATATTTAGATTCTTTTCTCTTCCTACAGTCATTCCCTTGATGAATTAATCTAGTAATATTTTTTTTTCTTGAGTTTCATTTTGAACTTGAAGCAGTTAGGATAAGGATAATAAGGATACTTTCTGAGAATGAAATTTAAAAGGAAAAAGAGGATTTTATACAGAGATAGGAAAATAAGCTTTTAATTTATATTTTGCTTTATAAAATAATGAATTTTGATGTATATGAAATTGTGGATGTTTTGGAAAAGATTGTTTTGGGAATCATACATTGTATAACATACAACTCTATTACATATATATGAATAAGCTCAGTGTGAGCAAGAGATAAAATCATTATTCTTTAACACTGAATACTGAAGATCATTTTTGAGCAATACTAGGATTGTTTTTGATTGCATTCTATGCTCCTTTTCATGAGACCATTGGGATAATTAGCCTTTCAGTATTTAAATCTATGAAATGCATGGTCATTCAAACATGAATCTCTGATGGAAAATTAATAGCACATTTTATTCAATGGCTGATTTCCTGGTGTTATAATTGACTGCCTGTAAATAAATGTTTCAGCTATTGACTAAATATCTAATCAGACCAAATGCAAACAGAGTATTGGTGAAGCAGGAATGTTCTGCTCAGTAATACACAATCCCACTTCTGATCATTTACATATAGGTTATTATTCCATGAAACTTCTCACTGAAAAATACTTTAGTGTACTTGAGTCTAGTTTTGATACCTATTGTTTCTACATTCAGAATAAATTCGGAGTTACCAATGATATAAGTACTATATACACTAGAAGGGCTTTAGGCATTATATTTGGCATAATTTTAGCTAAAAACTGTGACACTTTACTTGTGACTGCAAACATTTGATAGGTCATGATCAGCAGGATAAAAACTTGGCTTCTCTAGCTTCCCATTGTTCTGCCTCCTTTGCTACCTTAAATTTTTGATCAGATTCCTGCTCAACTCTGCACATGAACATGTTAGTCACTTGAAGAGTATCTGTCTTTATACTGATAATACAAGGTTGACTACTCCTAACCTCTCTCATCCTCTTTCAATACTGAAGATATCATAGGAAAAGTAACAAAGATATGTTCAAGATCCCAGGAAAAGCAAGCCCTGAAGGCAGATCACCCCAGGATGGGACCTGTGGCTGCTCTCTAAGCAGCAGCTTCTATCTCATCTCAGGAACAGCACAGTCACCTAAAGGAATGAGGACTTCCCCTATGCTGGCAGGGCATAGCAGACCAGCCCTGAGATAATGACCAACCAGACTATAGTTTGACCAAGACTGCTTAGCAATGCATACTACTCATACTTAGCACTAACAAAGACAAGGTTTAGGACCCTAGTCCCATGCTGTCTTTTGTTTACTTCACAAACAATAGGAGGACAGTAAAATCTGAGCTGTCAGCTATCACCTATGTTAACTGATCTACAGGTTAATAACTAAAAGGTGTTTGGCACAGTTTTTAAAGTAATATATGGATTTGCTAAAGATGAATAGCACTTGTGCCTACAGCACTTACCAAACAACATTGTACACTAGATGGTAAGATGCTAGAGTACAGACATTATCCATTTCATTCTGTAATATTTTTGAGGAAATGAAGAATTTCATGCATGGGATTTTAAAATGTGGCAGTTGCACAAAAAAAAAAATTGCCAGCCAGAATCAAGCAAATGATTGTATGGAAGCATAAGGAAATGAATCCATTCATTAAAATGCTTACTGTATATATTTTGCTTTTCTCAATCGCTAACTTTTCCTACAGCCATTTAGTTCTTTTTCTATGATTCTATGCTCACTAAGACAATTCATCATTATAAATTCAATTCCCAGTTTTGTATTAGCCAGGAGGATTGTAAAAAGGAATATTCAGATCTTTGGAAATATATCAAGGGACAAGCTAATACTTTGTATTTACACCAACCTAACCCCTTCCGAGTTTTGGGTAAAAAGTTAATGCTTCTATATTATTTTCAATGCAAATAAACTGATACAGCTTAATTTTCATTTTTATTTACTGCCAATCTTATAAACATTAAATTGATTCTTGAAGACATATGTTTACACATCAGGTGGCTTTCCTCTTTAAATATACTGTGCTCTGTACACATAGAGAATAAATTTTATAGTCACACTGTCATATTGCCTCCCTCTATCACTCTGTTCCTCTCCTTCCCTTTCTTTCTTTCTTTCTTTTCTTTCTTTCTCTCTTTTCTTTCTTTCTCTCTTTCTCTGTTTTTCTTTTTCTTTCTCTCTCTCTGTTTTTCTTTCTCTCTTTCTCTCCTCCCTTTATCTCCTTCTCTCTTTCTCTCCTTCTCTTTCTTTCTTTCTTTCTTTCTTTCTTTCTTTCTTTCTTTCTCTCTTTCTCTCTTTCTCTCTTTCTCTCTTTCTCTCTTTCTTTTTCTTCCCTTCTTTCTTTCTTTTCTCTAAAGATAGCCAGAGTGTTTGGTTATGGGATTGTTCTGTTTCACACAAAACCCACACACCATACGGTTTATTTCTTGTAAACAAACTAAAACACAGTAGCTGGATAAGTATGACATTTGCATTGGGATTAATAATTTTGCAATGAGAAAGTAAGATAGACACAAGGAAACTTGAACAATAAAGAGTGCCATTTTGGAACTGAAGCATTCTATGCCAAAAATCCCAGGCTATTTCTCTCATACTGACCGGAGAAAAACCAAAAAAAAAAAAAAAAACAACGACAAAACTTGTAATTTTAAAATTAAAAATGAGTTTCAGGACACAAGTTCAGTTTGATTTGGCCCCCTTCTCTAAACCTGGGCAATTCCTTTTCACCTGTAAATGAATTCAGCCATCCTCTTTTTTACTTGCAAATGGTCTTTCACTGTGAATATACTGCTTTCACCTATAAAATAGGCTTTTCTCTACAAATAAAGTATTACCTTTCATTGGGTGGAGATCCTCCCCTACCCACTAAACCAAGTCCGTGAATACAGATTGTCAGATTCCACAGATTTCCAAACTGTTATGTGGTGTTCTTTCTCTTGAGGGCCTATATTCACTCCTCTTTTGAGTGTGTACTAAAATTCCTGCCAAAAAATTTTCCCCTTGCCTCTTACTGATGGGTCCTAACACGTTTGTTTCTGCTAGAAGAGTCAGTCAGTAAACCTCCGAAAATTCTATGTTCAGGACGGGTTGAATTCCTCATTCCCACTCCAGCACCATCCTCAGTCCCAGTCAGGTGACAATCTGACACTTCGGAGGACCCTGACCGAGCACCATTTCTGAATGACTTGGTACTCAGAGTGCAGATAAAAAGTTTTCATACCTACCTTGATGAAAAGTTCGAGATGCAGCTCTTGCACCCAACTCACCTCTTGGTGATGACCACTGTTCCCCCTCAAGTTGTCCCTCCTTCTTAGCCTGTATTCCTCTGGTTTGACCGAGCACGGGCACTGACATGCTTTGTTTTACTTCTTAGCACATAGTCATGCTTCTGCCCTTCCATTCCCATCCTCCCACTCCATTCCCTTCCTGAAACTTCTCAGGGCAATGTGGTATATTATCATTGTCTATCAGAGGTCCACACATGTTACCACCAGCAGAGACAGTTCAACAACTTATCACGTGTATAAAAGCACAAAAAGTACCTGGACATAGGCTCTGCAAGAGCGCTCTCTTTTCTGAAGCTGAATCCATTAAGACAGCAGATTAAACACAGAATAGAAAAAACAAGTTAGTGACAGAAGAAAACAAGAAAAATAAAAGAACACATCTACACAAAACACCTTACTTTTTGGTTCACTACCCTCTAGGAGAAAATGAAAGCTAAGCAGCAGCAAAATGTAGTCAATGGCTTGAAATATAGTAGCTAATACCCTTTTAGAACAACCCCAGTGAAAATTGGATGGTATAAAGCTGTTAATGATAGGAAGAAATGTTTTCAATACATTTAGTAGAAATTAGTTGTAATCAATATGCTTCATTCATTTGAAATGATCCATTGCATGTCAGGTTAGTTATTAATTTATGGGTAAAAAAATAAAGATCTAAAAAGTTAAGTAAATGATGTCAAAAGTTTGGAACCTATTTTAAAGATAGCAGATTGTCGTTTGCAGACAATATAGATGGTTAATGTGTACACATATCATGCATTTGTTCATACATACAAAAAAATCTGTTCATTGGAACAGAAATATCCACTTTTCATGACTATTTCATTGTAGGAACAGATATCAAGACACAAGTAACTTCTGATAAAAGGTGATTAATCTCTAACTTGTCACTTTTTATATTTCTTGATGAATTTCTTTTGACAATTTTAACCAAGAAGATACACTTTCGAAACTTTGGTGGGATAAGAAGTCTGTGGTTTGTTTCCATATAGAATAGTGCTTTTACAGATAAAAGGTTTGCAGCACCCTCTTCCGTCCCAAGTAGTTTTCCCTAGTGCTTAACGGAATGAACAATAGCAGTTTATTCACCCCGTTTAAAGAAGGGCCCAAATTTTTCTAAATTAGATGTGACTTTTCCCCTTCTTCCCTACTGTTTCTTCCCCACTGTTTCTTCCCCCTTCAGTAGCCTTGATTTTACAAAAAAGAAAATTAATCCAGTCTTAAGAAGCAGTTCCTCTGATGCTTTTGTCAGCTAATGCTCTCCGGACTCTAATTGATGCATTTTTCAAAGAGCATGAAACAGTTACTCCTCCAAAGAATTAGGAGAGGAATGAGTGCGACTGAATTGCTGGGGCTGTCATTTGGATCACTGACTCGTGTCCTCATTTCACAGGACTCTAAACCCTCCACGATTTCAGTGTGGAGCTCAATTGATTTGTACCAAGTTGACTTTGCAAATCTGATCGGTTATAACTGCTTTGGGGAAATGGGAACTTCAGGGAAGAGGACAAGGCAGCAAGCACGTGAATAACCTCTGCCCTCCCCGCTACTCACCCGCCATGCAAATTAACATATGACAAACCGTATGACAGAAACAACTGGAAAAAGCCAAATGGGGAACAAAAGAGAGCAGTAAAAGGCCTCATAAATGGAAATCTGCCCATTACGTAGTTATTTGGTATTCAGAGGAGGCAAGCTGATTAGCTGTAGCCAGTTAGAATGTGACATTAATCGCAGCTTTACCTGATATCCTCAGACATCAACATTTTTAAACAAAGATACAAATATCGGTGTAACGAGTCATGTTACGGATTCTAACACAAACAGAAATTACTACCACCAGTGCATTATGAAACAATAGCTGGCAGCCTTATTCACTCATAGTGCCCAGTTAGCCTGGGTAAGAACATTAAAATCATAGCATGGCCAGATTATACAGGCAGCTGTAGATTATGCTATCAGGTGTAGTTGCAGTTCTATCAGGTTATAAGTGGAAGTTGTTTAAAAAGTTCTACATGCTCAGTATGACAAAAAAAACCTTCATAATTTATATCCAATAGATAAAATTGTACCTGTTTTCTGGAGACGACATTGCAGATAAAACTATTTGCCTGCTTTTTCTGTGCTGAACAATCATTAGTTTCAAAAATGTCCACTACCTTGATGAGTGAGTGAGTCTTACTGCAGTAAGACATGAAAGAACTAACTGCATTAAATGACAATTCTGCAAAGTCATTTTTCAATCTTAAGAGGAATGCCCTTCTACTGAATTCCACAGAGGAACATTAGTCTTTCACTGGCAATTCTCATATTTCTAAGTGGGAAGATTATCTAAATATTATAGGATCTGAAATTCAAATTCAATTGCTGAGAAGCTCTACTACACAAATCCCAACCAGGGATTCTTCCCATTCAGTGTTATCAATCCTCGTATACTTTTTATCATCAGGTTAATTGAAAATGTCATAATTTGTAGTAAAGCTAAGTAATATTCTATAAATACTGTAATATATATTAATCTTTCTAATTTTTGTATTTTATATTAGTATTTATACAGATATTAACACACAGTAAATATTTTCTGAAATTTAAAATATGATTTTAATTATTTACAATTCAAATTTGCTAAAATACATTTAAAGTTCAAAAATTTTAATGGTAGTGACACAAAATCTGAGTAATTTAAAAATCAAAATGAACTAAAAGTTAAAAATCAGTTGCACCATGAATTTTTAAAGTAATACTAATTAGGTTTAAATATTTCATTTATATTGGAGTATTAATATTCTTTCTATTCTCTATTCTCTAAATTCCTACGGAGGGATTACACACATATATTGTCAGCTCTTCCAATATAAAAGTTTGAAGACAAAATGAATTAAAATAAATTGCAATAATCCAAGTTACTCTTGTCAGAATTTAGCTCACAAAACCAGGCGTTATACTATGAAACATAATATAGTAAATTTCAAATATTTATGAGCAGTTATTGTTTATTATTTCTTTGGCTTAAAGTCAAATGCTGCCATTATGATAATTAAATTGTAAAGTAAATACAATTATCAATTCTTTTCAGATTATCAATTCTTTTCAATGATTACTTCTTTTATTATATAAAATGAAGAAATATAAGCAGGGAAGTTTCACTCATTTTACAACTTTGAAGATCTGCACAGCAGGGTCCCTACCTTGTTCAAACTGCGAGCTGCGCTGTCTTTTCCACCCGGGGTCAGGTTCCTGAGCTGCACATCCAGGAGCCCCACGAGCTGGTCCATGGCTCGGACTGAGTAGGTGATGTCCCCAGCATTCAGATGGTTTCTGGTCTGCTCGGCCAGCTCTCTAGCGATGTTGGCTGCCGTCTCTCCAGATTTTAACTGCAATGTTGAAACAAAATAAAATGGAAAGAGTTCTTCCCCAAATATTTTATTGGTCTCTTGCCAATTGCTTTTGCATGTAAATTTGAGTCATTCGCGCAAGAAATAGTTATTAAACTCCATCTATACCTGGTTGAGAGCTTCAGATGTTTTCTGTAAATTCGTCCTGGTCTTCAAAATATAACTTGATTTTTATTTCTTTTTATTTTAAAGAGACAAAAAAATAAAAACGACAGAATTTCAAAACAAGATGATAGGAAATTAACAGTGGTTCTTATACCGCATATTGTTATCTTCAAAGTAGTTGCTCAGATTGCCAGATACAGGCATGCAAAATTGATCAAACAATATAACTAATAACTGTCTCTTCAATGAACTAGTAGAAATTAGCGGTACAATTATCTTTGCTATCTCATGTACATATACATATCTTTCTATTCCCTTCCTTCTTTTCTCTTTTACCCTCTCACAGTTTTGTTTTTTTTTTTTCTTTTGAGCAGTTCCTTTCCCTCTCACAATATCTATTGTACCTGTAGGATGTTATTTACTCTTTCAGTTTGTTCACTAGGGAGACAGTATAATGTTTACACATGTGATTTTGATTTATCTCAGTTATGTGTATGGTCTCAAAAACTACCTTTCGATTAATGACTTCAGAGAGTTTCTCCGGAGGAATTTCCTTTCTCGTTCTCTCTCCCTCTTGTTCCTCTCTCACAATCCCCGCCTCACTGAACCCACTGCCATCTCACTGAGCTAGATCCTTCCCTTTTGGAATTTGCAAGTCTCCCATCTCAGCCTCCTGGAGTGCTGCTATTACAGAATTGCTCTATTGCGCCCAGCTGAAGAATCTTATTTCTAAATATTATTTTCATCTTAATTATCCACTTCATTGGTGAAGGTCAGAGATTTGTCCTATTGTGAGTTTTTAAACTGGACTTCGATAAGACTGTACTATGAATTCCCAGTCATAGGCTACATGCTTAGATGTAAATACAATACAAACTTTCATTTTGCATATTTAGCTCTTAGTGAACCAGGCAAATAAGAAATAAATAGTAGCATTTGCAAATATTATTAATGAATATTAACTGAACTAATTGAGTATTCATCAGCTGTTAAACACTGTGAAAAATTTACCCCAAATAAAATCCTGCTTTTAAAATGATTTTTCTCTTCTTACTCAATACACAGTGAGAAATTTTGCTCCCCACAGGCAGAGTAGCAAATTACTGCTTAGTTTCTAGTGTTTTTCTTTTCTGAAACTACATGCTGATTTTTCAAATATGTTCTGTGGGAGTATATCAAATTGTCAATACTTCAAAGATGTTAAATGAAGCAAAAGCTAATACCCCATGATCAGTTGAAAAAATTTAATAGCCACGGGTAATAAGAAGATATGAATATATATATTAAACTTTAAGAAAAGTATAGAAAGTATTTTAAAAAGGCAAATTAGTATAATTTCCTGAGTTACAATCTTCTTTTAAATTAATAAAACAGGAATGGGACACATATAAACAACAGAGATAGAAGTATGCAAAGTTAACGTAACAGTCTTTCTAGGGACTGTTAAGGGTTTTAAGTGTATCTTTCCAAAGTTTAGTTTCCTGAAGCTGCTCAAAAGGATAGAACAACTGGGATGAGGGAAAAGAGAAAAGAAAGAAAAAAGAAAAAAAGAAGGGAAAAAATATATATATATGTATACACAAGATAGCTAAGATAATTGTACTACTAATTTCTATTGCTTTATTGAAAGGAACAGTTAATGTTTAACTGTTTGATCAATCTTACATGCCTATATTTGTTTATCTGGGTAATCAATTTGAAGATAACAGTATGTAATACAACAACCATTGTTAATTTCCTATCACCTCGTCTGAAATTCCATATTGCTCTTATTGTTTTTATGCTGTTTTGTTTATGTCTGCATGTTTGTTAATATGTTTTCATTCTTTTATCTTTAAAATAAAAAATATTTAGCTTTCCCCATTATTATTTAAATGCATAATAGTGTCATAATAGTGTTATCTCATAATAGTATTTTCAACTGGTTTGCTTTTTTTCTTTTTGTGAGATAGTTCAATGTAAAGCCCATGGTCACAAACAAAAAGATCTTTTCTTTGCAAACTGTCTAATGATTATTAGCATAACTAGAAAACTATCAGTACAACTATAAGTCTTAATCAATGAAATGAATTATCACTATCTATATAAGACAGTTTAGGATTTGTAGCAAGAATGAATGTTAAAAATAAATAAACCATAATACTTCAAAGATCCAAATTATATGTAATCATATTCTCAAATATAGAGAAAAAAATCTACTAAAAATTCAGTCTAATAACAAGGTTGTGGAAATGAATATCACCTCCACAAACTACTACTGAGAAAGTATATTTATATAGCTCCTATATAGAACACATTATCAGTGTCTATAAAGTTTTGATGTGTAAATACTGTATAGTTCAGCAACTTCTTTTACTACTATTACACATAAAAATAATCCATAGATGTGTAGAGTAATAGGAAATATCCAGTGATGCCCATGTAAGTTTATGATAGAAAAAAATGGGTTATGATTACATAACAGTGCTCAATATATATGTGCCATGCAGTAGTTTAAAATATGAAGGAAATCAATATTATTAAGTTCAGTCAGGATAAAAACACTACTTATAAAGATAATATACATAATGTTTTCACTTTATATATATAATAATACATGTAATATTCTCTGCTATGTATACAGAACATAGTCTACAGTCTCTGTGTACATACTTTTTATATATTCTATATATATTTTCTCTCTTTATTTCTCAGCCTAAGAAACAAAAGAGAAATCCTTTAATGTACTGTTTATATTTTATAAGAATATATCAACATAAGAAGGCTATTTAAAGTATTATTATACAGTTTGTAAGTGCTTTGTAGAAATCCTTGAAATTAAAAAATAAATCTGTACTGAATTAAAGGAATTTGTAAAATTGTTTAGTCTTCAAACCTATCAGACTGAACAGATCACTTTACAGAGTTCAAGGATAAGTATGTAACAAATTCCTATGGATCAAGGGATTGCTCATGGCCCAAGAGTTAGTCCAGAAAGTACTTCTAAGTTTTCACAAAGTGACATAAACATGATTACAAGTAACACATTTTAATTTATAAATATATTATATGATTATATATTATAGTATATATAATTATTATACATTATATATAAGTGCTACTTAATCTAGTAAATAATTAAACAAATTCTAAAATTCAGAGGGTTAGCAATGTAGCTGAGCAGTAAAGCTCTTGCTTAGCATGGCAAGATCGTAGGCTCAATACCCAGCAAGAAATTTATATACATATAAGTATTCAAATTCAGCATCCCACCAGTAGGTATGAGTACTGGTACAACTGGTTGGCAGCTTTACAGAAATTCTGCAGTATACATGAATATTCAGAGAGCCAGAATTCCTGTACTTTCCAAAGAGACATTCTCCTGATCAGTGCACCATTTATAGTGTCTTCCTCCAGTTCTTATTTTCTCCGTTTCCATTCTTATAATGAAGACTATATTTGCAGAATTGCTCCTGCATTATTTGATTCATCACTGTGTTCTTGGGGAATGGTTATCTTATTGCTCTCTCTATGTCTCTGTTACCACATGAGAATTTTTTCTGTCAGAAGTCAGGGCAGATGATCTCTGGGGTTTTTGATTTACCATAGTTGAAAAAAAACACTGAAATCTTCTAAGCAAGCCAAAATATTTGTTCATTAAGACATTTTTCAAAACAAAGTATGTAAAAATTGACTGTCATTATCTCTATTAGTGATCATGATAAAAAGCTAATTTATTAAACAGAAAAAATAATAACACTAGTATTTTCATATTATAATCCCACTCTTTTAGAATTATACAAGAATAGTCAACATTATCACAGCATTCGAGTGGGTGTCACTATAGTGATAAGGTGGAAAGAAGGCTTCTGTAATGCCCTTTTTCCTATGTATAGTGATATAAAGATGAAAATGATGATTAAATCAAAATATAATTGTTCCCAACATAAAAGATATTGATGAGAAGTCCAGCTACCAACATATACATCAAGAACCATGCACTTCTGTAAATGGCCAAATATAAAAATCAGTTACCTTGTTAGCTCAAAAAATAATTACATTTAGTCATTTAAAAAGTGTTTACTTATAAAAATGAAAATGTGGCTAAAACTCTCCAAAGAAATCCTGAAACTCAGCAATCACCACTGAGAAATTAATGAGAGAAAACTGAAGCACAGGTAAGTAACAAGTTACAAAAATATTTACAATAAATGTGAGGAGCAAATTTTTAAAGCAGTTTTTGCCAGAACTATCTCTCTCTTCACATTAAAAGGGAATAAATCATACCCAAATTTTTTCTTTCTTTCAACAACTATTTGAACACTTATTTTTTTCTGGTGGATAGAAAGATGAACTTTGTACAAATTTTTCCCTCAGGGCACTTTTACTTTACCAAGTGAGAAGGGAGATGTTGGCCCATAAAGGGAAAGAATGCAAATAACAGAAATGTTCATGAGATAGTATGGGAATACAGTGCAAGGAGAAAAGCAAGGGAAGGCAAGGAGAGGTTGACAATGAAGTAAAGCCTTAAAAGCTACATTGAGGGTGACCAGGCAAGATGGAGGACTGGCGTAGGCTTCTGGAAAGAAAGGGTACCTCAAACAAGGACAGTCTGACACACAGAAAGTTAAGTCCAGAGTAACCGCTGCTGTCCTCTCAGTCCAGTTATTATTGAGTAAAATTATCTTATTTCCATCAAATATACACATATCTCCTGATTCTGCCTCAGGTCTTCTTGAGTGAATACAGAGTAAAGTCATTCTTTTCTTACAGATATCATTACAATGTTTATCTCTAACCTTTCTTTTACTGAAGTTTACTAATATTGCTTACAAATAAGGACACGCATACCAAGAAAATTATGAGTGTTGTGAGGATTAGTAAATGCATTTACTAATGCCTGTGTTTATATGACTGGGTTATACGCAGGACTTGAACAGGGGGTGGGAGAGCCTGTGGCTTTACTTAATGATGATAATTACAACAGAAACAGACATTATGCACATTTCAAATTTTGATACAAGCAAAAACAATGTTCTTTAAAATAAGCTTTAAGAGTTTCTAGAATTTATTATGTCAACCATTCGTCCAGGGCCAAAAGAACTGGCTGAATATAGTGTTTAAATATATCACTCTACAGCTATTACTTCTCTGAAATCTCTACCTACTTTACTGTAATTCTGAGTCATGTGAGTATAAAATAACACGTCTATCTTACCACTGAAAGTGTTACGGAGTTTAAGTAGATGTCCCCCCAAAGTCTTATGTGCTCACAGGTGAGGCTTTTGGGAGGTGACCCACTCATGGGTGTGTGATACTCATCACTGGATTAGTCTACTGATGAATTTACAGCTAAATGTGATGCTAAGGGCTGAAGCTCGGTGGGAAAAGGTGGGTAACTGAGGATGTGCTCGGAAGTATATGTCCCTCTTCTTTCCTTAATCCCTTTCTGCATCCTGCCTGCTCTGCCATGAGCTATTTCTCCTGTGCTAGACCCCTCTGCCATGCCGCCCTGCCTTGGAGGGAGCTGACTATGGACTAAATCCTCTACAACTGTGAGCTAGACAACCTTTCCTTCTTTAACTTGTGGGTGTTGGGCATGTTGCTCTAGCAATAAGAAAGGACCCAAGATAGTGAGTTAAGTATAATGCCATATTAGTATAATTTCTGATACAATTAAGAAACAATTGATTTGCAGTTCATTCAAGAATTCCTTTTTGTTGCTGTTGTTTTTTTGTTTGTTTTTCTTCCGATACCACGAATCGAACTCACAACTTTGTGCTTGCCAGGCAGGCGCTCTGCCGCTGAGCTAAATACCCAGCCCAAAGAATTCCTAAGGATGTTAAAATCAAGACATTAAGATACAGAAGACAGACTGTTATGGTTGATACATTGTGTCAACTTGGGAAGTCTAGAGGTTTGGCTGAGTGACTCAGCCGCTCTGCATTGGGGTGAAAAGGACAGGCTCTTACCCTTCTGAGATGTTGTTCATGGTGTCAATTTGAGAAGTTTAGAAGGTTAACTGTGTAACTCAGCAGGGAGCCATAGTGCTTAGACTCAGCAGGGAGCCAGAGTGCTTACTTAGTATTCACTCTGAGCCTGTGCAAGAGGAGGACATGGAGATTGTAAGAGCTATATGCCCCCTGGGTGGGGGCAGCCTGCTTACAATGTAAAGGAGGGAAAGAGGCTTGCTCTGCAACTTCTCCCTTTTGCTCTTGTTGCTTTGCTGTTCCGCTGCCATGAACTGGCCATCTGCCATGTGCCACTCTGCCTAGGAGCCAGCCGAGTATGGACTGAAACCTCCACACACTGTGAGCTAAATAAACCTTTCCTTCCTTCATTTTGGGTTTTGGGTATTTTGTCTCAGTAACAAGAGAAAAGTAACCAAGACACAGACTCAACCTAATCTCCCAGGGCAAATGATTGGTTTATTTTATATCAGAAGGTACCAGTGTCATTTACAAATTTCCATACCCTTTTTCTACAGAAAATGAAACAATCTTCTTTACCAACAAAATAAAAAGGGCTGTGATTTGTCAGAAATAAAGAATATTCTCTGCGATGATACAGGTAACTCCTTCTCACATTTAGCCTAAGCCATGGAGTGGGAAGCACACCTCACACTGCACGTAAATAATAAGGAAGCTATTCAAACGAGTATCACAGAGCTTTAAATGGGAAAAGCTGAGGGAGATTGTAAATTGTAATGAATGCTTTAAAGGTATGCAAAACAGAAAATATAAATTCCTTCTGAAAACTTCAGTCTAAGCTGAGATCAAGCTGCATCCAGGAATTATGATTTTATATAGCAGACATTAAAGGAGGTGAGAAAATAGAATGTTTTGTCAAATGTATTTCAGGAGGCAGAGCTCTGAGCTAATGTGCAGCCTTCGGTGAAAACTGGAAAATGCTTTTACAACACTGACTTCAAGAAATAGTTGTTTATTCACAACGCCTTTCTGTATTTCTACTTTCTATCCATTCATCCACCTATACCTTTCCAGCCTTCCGCCCACTCAGCTAAAGACCCCCTCACCTTCACTGGTGGGATAAACTTTTCTTCTATAAAGATTGTGCTTTTTATTAATTCTCATCATTATGGAAGTATTCTGGGTAGTTTCTTTGCAACACATTCCTTCCTGAACCTGAAGCTTGCATTTAAAAGCTTACATTTCCTCTAGTGTAATGTAATCTACTCTCTATATCACATAAAAATTAATCTTGAGGATAGGACTTAGCTGAGTGGAGCAGCACTAGCCTCATATGTGTAAGGCCCTGGGTACAACTCTCAGAACCACAGGGGAAAAAAAGATCTTTAGCTTCACGAGTGCATGTGTAGCCCAAATTCATTTGTGAGTCCAAGACAATTGAGATTATTTTGTCTCCCTCTTCAACTGGTTGAGAAAACAATGTACTTTATTTTTTAAAATGCAAATCTAAAATTTGCTTTGTGCAACTAAGTTTCGATTTTTATATATTACAATTGCTGCTTATAAATGTTCCCACAAATAGAGAACAAATATTGTTGATATTGAAATTAATGCCTTAACCCATTTTACAGATGGGGAAATGTGATCCAGAGGTTGCTGACTTGCTTGTCCAGGATAACTCAACTATCAAGATCCTCAGGCCGGTTCATTTTCCTTTAAGATATAGGAATCCCTCAGAGGCTCTGTACAGCAGAGAAGGAGGTTGTGATGGTCTGAATATTTGTGGCCTCCAAAATCGATATGTTGAAAGCTTAATGGTATTGAAAGGTAAGGCTCTGCAGAGGTGTTTAGGTCAGGATGTGGAGCCTTAATGAATGGGTTCCTCCCCTTATCAGTACCCAGAGGATCTCCTGGTGTACCCACCATGTGAGGGTATAGCAAGAAGTTACTACCTTTGTACCAGAAAGCAGCCCTCACCAGACAATGAATCTGCTGCTACTTTAATCTTGGACTTTCCAGCCTCCAGAGCCATGGAAATGCATTTGTTGCTAAGACTGAAGTGTCTAAGACTGCAGAGAATATTCACTCACAAACCCCTGGAGAGAAAGCAGCTACCTGTTTCAATGAGGCAGAAGGGTAGGGAGAATAAATCATTACAGGCATCTACTTTGCTTTAATTTTCCAGTATGGCAGAAAAACTCAGAGGAGAAGGAAAGAGACAGCAGGCAGCAAGGGCAAAGTAAATGAGCAGGACTCCAGAGCTAGTGAGCGAGCCTGGGGCTATGAAGGGGATCAGAATCTTCCCACTACAGACTGGGCAATGCTGAGTGTCCCCGTGAAGGTAGAAACACTTATAACAACAGCTCCATTGCTGACCCTGGACCAGTTAAAAGCTGAGAATGTTACACCTTGAAGATTTACAAAACTTACATTATTGTTAAAAATTGTTATAAATTCCAGTTGCCTGGAATTAATTTTAATATAATTGTAACGTAACATATCATAACTTTAGAGACTCGTGAAGGTTAACGAGAGATGCCCTGGATGGACAAAACTATTTATTACAAAACAAAAACATCCAACTGTCAATCAAATGGGCAACTGCTGTCTGGTCTTTGAAAGGAATTATCTCTTTTGTTCTAAGATTAGCAAGGCTGCAGAGGAAAGAAAGGAATTAAGTATCATTATTAATTAAAGTCAGTAATTTCTGCAATGGAAAAGTCCAACCCTAGTCAGAAATTATCATGAAAACATTCAGCTTTCTAGGTGAACTACTGTTGAATTTATATTAACCTCTGAGCTAAGTACCTAGGGAGTATCTTTCAAAAGTTGCTAATGTAAAAAGATATGCTACTGATCTCTTAATCTGATCACATCCAGCAAGAATTATTTGCCCTGGGGTCTGAGCTACATTGTAATAAAATCAAAGGACATAAAAACTGTGGCAGGAACACTTCTGAAACTGGAGAAGCATCATTATGAATAGCAACAAGTACGGAGCTGCATATGTAAGTGGGTAACTGGAGTCAATACAGTGACTATTCTTCCACGATTTAGGGTGAATACGTAGTTATGGCTTATCTGCTAAATGATCTACTGGGTAGATATTTATGGATTATTATACAGTATATTATTGAGGATAAGCTTGGTTAAAAACAATTGGAGAAAAGAGCAAATAGCACAGGCCAGCTTTTAGTAAGGCCATCATTTGTAATATTTCTGAGGGAAAAATCTCTTTCAGAAATTCCTCGGCACAGCTAATATGCCATAGAAGGACTCTCCATTTTAGTAGTGCATAAATCCACATAAATTGCTATAATAAGGATTCATCCCACAGCCTTATTGGCATAAATGCACATCTGGTCTCTGTTTGTAATGAAATCAATTCAAAGTCCCACAGTGCATTAATAATAAAAATGTTCAACATATTGCAACCAAATAAGCCCTGCACATCTGAGTTTGCAAGATTCTGCCACACATGTGTATGCTTTTAGCACGGATAAATGATTAGGTCACAGAATATCTATTAAATGGCTGAAAATTTCAAAAACAGATTTTTATTATAATTATTACTGCCACAGGGAAAAAAAAAATCCTTACGAATATATGCTAGAAGGTTTTGCTTGCTTGATTTATTTAATGCCTCTTGGACTTTTATATCTGTAGTTCACAATCCATTGAAATTTTATTAATAATAAAATTATTATAAGCAATACTGCCTGGCTTACAGGAAGTTCATGTATCTGATTTTTAAAAAGCAACTAAGTTCTAAAATTAGCATACAGTATGTTGTCCCTAAATGGGAAATTAAATTAAAATGTGAGAATTTTTCCACATTAATTTTTTCTAAATTGATTCAATTGTTCTCAGCAGCTATAATCAAAGAGGATGTAGTTTCAGTCATGACATTTACCTTCTGTGTTATGTGATTAACCCACGGCGAAGAGCAGTTGCTGAGATCTGGTCCTTGGGGGTCCCAGATTCCATCAGGAGCGAGGCATAGGTAAGTTGATACACCTATAACAAGGGAAGAAATAAGTCTGTTTCAAATGCCCAACCCATTTTTCTTGGAATAACTATATTTGAGGCGCTTAAAATATGAGCAAAATTAATAATGAGATAATTAAATTGAGATACATCTATTGTCTATTAAACTCCACATATGGAGTTGCTTGATAAGCAACTGGCATTAGAGAAACGTTGTACAACACACAAAAGTGTGTGTGGGGAGGTGACTGGTCCATGGGTGTGCTGCTCTCATCAGTGGAGTTGTGCATGGTGAGTGTAGCAGCTCTTTGTGCTGTTAGAGAAAGAGAGATACAGAGACAGAGACAGAGACAGAGGCAGACAGAGAGAGAAGGAGAGAGGAGAGGGATTGCAGGGGGAACAGTAGAAAAGTAAGCCAAAAGTGAGAGAAGACCTTTAGCTTCTGTCTTCAGAAGAGGTTTACCTATAGTCCCTGCAGGGCATGGCTGTTTTGCTACTTGTCCTTGCCGGGTCTTAAACCACATGATTTCTCGAGCTTCCACAGCTTCGCAGCTCTCTTCCATTGCGGGAATCTGGGACGCTGCGGATGGGAGGTGTGTGGTGATGTCGCCCAAAACCTCCACAGCTGGTGACGGGGTGCTGGTACTCCGGTTTCTTCTTCCGGACACCGAGGGGGTGGTGCTCCTGCCGGCGCCCCACGTCGTGGTCCGGAGGGTGGTGCTGGTGGTCGTGCTTCCCATGCCAAGAGGTCCTGTGGTAGAAACTCCTGGAACACAATCAGAAAGAGAAGCCTAGATTTCTTGCTCTCAGTAGGACCTCAAGGTGTCTCTGTACTGTAGAAAACAGTTTAATTTGACAAGTCAAAGAGTTTTAACACTCTAGAAACCCTGAAGGTCAATTTATTTTGAACACAACAACATATAAGCCAATACCGAGGGATCAGAACACCACCTGGTTACCAAAGTCTCCATTTGAGCACCACCAGGCGTGGGTTTGTACGATGCCCTCAACTCTAAACACAGAAAACAAAACCACCACAATATAATTTTTCAGTAAGCTTCTCCATGTTCTAAGCCCTCTAACAATTAGAATATTAAGACATTATTCCCTCTTAGAATTTTCAAATAGTATAGAAAAAAGAGTTATGTAAAATAGTCACATCAGGTATAACATGAGTTTCTAAATATGGGACAACATTTTTCAAAAAAAGACAACGTAAACTTAGGTGTGGAGAAGCTAGAAAATAAAGAGCAATTTTGAGTCTGCTTTTCTTAATACACAGTAGCTTAGAGATTTACCAGTGCTTTTAGGAATAACCTTTTGCAACAAAAATTTCAAGCTTGACATTTACTACAGTATTGCTCTCGCTTTTTGGATAAATTACTTCCTAATAAGTTGGTATTTTTTTTTAAAGTGCGAAAATATATTCCAAACTTCAAATGAAGCAGTTAGTTTCCTAGACCAGATTTTAACATAACTGAACCTATAACGTATATAGGATGTCTTCTAAGTACTAAGGGACTATGTGCTGCAAAGAATTATGCATCTTCTGGGGAAAACATATTCATATTCTCATCAGGGGATGGAAGCTTGGACCAGCCCTTCACCTACTTACCCTGTTACTAACTGTATGATTCAAAACTGCTCCTAACTTCACTGCCTGGCAATAAACTGTAAGTGTACTAGCGCTGGCACAAGACTACTCAGGTGTAAAGAGCTGTCAGGCTCCCTGCAAGGAGCCTCCAGCTGTTTGTCTTTCATTGTCCACCTCTCAGAAGTTAACTACACACACTGAAGACCACTTCTTAACTCTGCTGCCCCAGAGGAGGGCACAGATTCACCGCGGTGCACAGGCTATACATATAAATTCCCAAGGCAGGCTAGACCTGACGGCGGAGAGTCCTGACTTCTGAGCAGTCAAGGAGGAGTACAGCACCCCTCAAGTGCTGCTGCTCGTCTCCTTTCTCTCATCTGTTTTCTCAGCCTCCATCTCATTTCTCTGAGCTCTTTTTGTATGTGAGCGGCACTGTTCATAACTGCTTTGACACAAAATCCATACAAAAATGCAAAGTATCTTTCTTTCCTTCTTACACACACACACACACACACACACACACACACACAGAGGATTGACTTCAGATTGCTACATGCTTCTGTCTAATTCTTCTATTCACAATCCATCTACTTTTCTTTGTCTTTCCAATCGTCACTATTTACACTATTTACGTTTAGTCAAACATCACCAGTGAATGAATACGGAAGACTTCTAACTATTTTGCAGTACCCGAGTAAAACTGTAATACTCTTATTTCATTCTTTATTATTGCAAGTTGAAGATCAGAAATTAGAAAATAAAATGACTAAATAAAGTTCTAACCATTTAATAGAGGTCAAAATCTCATGGCCTATTTCAAAATATATTAAATGGAGATTTGTTGGTTTCAAAATATGTAAAATTATAACTAAATTATAAACAAAAGTAGGATTCAATAGATACATTTGCATAAAAACATGTCAAAACTGTTACATAGAAGGAAGAATATTTAATAACATGAAAATTAAATTCTTGACACTAAGAAACATCAGCTTTTAAAAAATTCACTTCAATGCTGCTATGGTTTGGAAAAAGATTGGTGCAGATTTTTGCAGGGGATGAACAAATTCTTTTTTACTTCATACTGTGGAGAATAGGAAGGCAATAGTTAAAAGCTAACTGCATGAGGTTTCTCCAACTCCATTAATTTAAATAATGCCTGCTCTCATTTGTACTTTTGAAGAGACTATGTTGAGTAACTTTCAGTTTTTTGACAGGAACTATAATCTTTTCATTGATAATGAGCTATAGTTTTTGTTTCAAACAAAGCATTTCTAGCTCTTCTTTGTCTTTTTTAAGTTTGATAATGTAGAAAAGGAGCGTTATAGCAGTTACCTGTTATTAGCTAAATAATCTCATGCTCAAATTAACTTGTTCAGGAAAAGTCTCTGAACTCGAGCAAAAACTACTTTTAAAATAGAAACTGTTGTTCAGTTGTCTTCCTTCTCTTCAGAATTGTATAGATACAGAAGAAAGCTTTCAAAATTAAGGTGCCTTTCTTCAACTAGCTATTTTAATTAGCATATAACTGTGAGCAGAAAAGACCTGTTCAGCGCCATCTTCATTATGATGAGACTTCACAGTCGCATGAGTAGTAAGAAGTTTTTTGTCCTATTGTCTTCATTGCATTAACCACACATAAGGAGCATTGCACAATACCGTGGACTTCTGCTTGCTGTGACTTCAGGTTTACAAATATTGAATAGATTTGTCTTTTAGCATAGATTTAATATATCTACCACTGTGCTCTATTTAAGTGATCCAGATTTCAGACTTTTGAAAATCACAGCATCACACCAAAATGTGTTTAACAATAGCCACATGTAATGGAAATTAATGCTGTCTATTAGTTTCTGAAATTACTCATTCAGACTATTTTCTACCTTTTCCCAGAATTACTTATTAGAGTATAGAGGGGGTATGTGTCTCTCCTGAGAAAGATCCTTAAGTGCTTTCTGTCTGCCTTCCAAAAAAGAAATCACCCTTTTGGTAAGCCCAGAGCTTTCGTGATTTTTCCTCCAACGCCTTTATGATCTTGCTCATCGTTTTGTTTTACCTTTAAACCACACAAAATTACCAGTAGCTCTCCAACTGGATATTTTTTGCCTTAGAATCTTTGCCCCTTCTGTAAAGCACTGCTGCTCCACTGTCACCTAGGTGACATCTATGTGTCCTTTGGGGCTTAGTTTGTTTGCCCTCTACCTGGAGAAGACTTTTCAAATTTACTGAGCCTGGGGTAGACACTAGCATGTGTTTTGCTAAAATTACCCCTTTGAGTTTTGTGTCTGACTCACAACAAATAAGCCCCGAGTTAACACAGAGGAATGTCAGGGAGAGCTCCAGGGCACAGCACGGGGCACAGAACCACAAAGCCTGGGGAAAGTAGATGGAAAGAGCAGACCACGCGTAGCTAAGAGTTCCCAGCGTAAGAACTGGAATGCTCAAAACTGCGCCTACCCCGTCATTAAGAAAGCCCCGGCAGCCCTCAGAGAAAATAATCAGAAGTCAAGGCCTCCAAGAGGACCCTGTCTCAGACAATCATATTAAGCGAATAAGCTTTTATGAAGCAGTAACACTATAAAACAGATTTCCTAAAACGTCCAATGTGTTATGAAACACATTGAAAATACTCTGTTTTATACACATACGAACATTAGGGATCAATATAGAACTTATTTCCTTGGAACTGTGCCACAGAAAGATGTCTACAAGCGGGGTCAGACTCTTCTGTTTGACTTTAAGCAGAATAAAAGTCAATTTTAAAAGCTTCCCCTGGTCTCGCATCCTCTTCCTTCCATTTACTGCTATGTGGGGCTCCCAAGGGCTCTGCTCAACGCCAGCATTTGGCAGAATGAGTGCTAGTGATATACATGCTGTCACCAGTGCCCAAGGAAGAACTTGTCTTATTGCTAAACGCTGAGGGAAGATTCAGAGTCACCAGAGTCACTGATTGGCGAAGCTCCAGCCCATATTATAAACTCTAAGGGTTCATCTTTTTCTTCCAGCAAGTGAGAAGTGATGTGATGCAATTTCAGCGCTCAGTATTATTGAGTCTTACCTGATGACACAGGTAGCTTAATAAACCTATGTGTTATGAAGGCGCTTGTGGGGCTGTGTGCCAGGAAAGGTTACTGTCCACAAGGAAGTAGGTTTGAGTGACCACGTATATGTAACACCCAAATCATGTAATGCTCCTCATTATTTTGTCATTATTACTGTGCCATTGTGCATAAAAAATTAGTATTCTCAGAAAAAAAAGATAAACAAAACTCAATTAAAATTCCCTCCTATAACTTTATTTCAAAATAAAACAAAAAGACACCCTAATATTCCTGTCCCTTGACACATAATATCCATAGCTTCTTTTATTCTTATGAGTTTACTTATTGTCTTTAAATTCTTCTCTTCAGCCTATCTTGAGCAAATATTTTGAATGTCATTAGCGTTTATAGTTTGTAGAGTATATGAATAACAGTGGAAATAGCTAAGGAATATTTTGTGCTTTACATTTTGTAATATTTTTCTTTATAACTATTCATTTAATTATGTCAAAAATTTATAGAGTATTCCTATGAATGCATGCTTTAAAAATGAGAAAACAGGATGAAATGATAAGTGAATCATAATCTAACAAATAGCAAATGAATTGGTATATACTGTTTTCAAGTCCTATGCTTTTTGTTTGTTTGTTTGTTTGTCTGTCTGTCTTTTTCCGGTACCAGGAATTGAACTCATGACCTCATGTTTGCCAGGCAGGTGCTGTGCCTCTGAGCTAAATCCCCAGCCCCAAGTTCTATGTTTTTAATATTTTGCTACTAAGCTGCCTTTCTGAGTTCCTTCATATATTTAACAATACGAGTGTTCTGTAATCTCTTAAGAAAAAGCTGAAGGAAATAAAAAAATTTAGTAAGACATTACTATGTCTGATTACAAAACATTCATTACTTGTGATGAGCATGGTTCTAAGAAAATGTAATACTTAAGACAGAATCTAAAACTTTGCAAACTTAGCATAAACTTCACTGCAGAAGAATTGTTTATTCTTACTAATAAAGTACATGGATTTTCTTCTTTATTTTCCTTTACTTTTATCCCCCCTACAATCTCTTGTAATGGTTTCCTCATTACAAATCTTTCTCTTGTGCTAACTTCTTTCCAATAGACAATGTTCT